GCATTTGTTAACACGTTATTTATTTGTTTTCTTTGAAGTATTTAAATCGTACTTTATGCCGGTTATGTGTCAGCATAGTTGCCTCCTGTGAGCTTAATTATCTTCCTCGCTGTGGGTCGAACCTCGGATATGCGACATTTCAGGTTCTCACGGCGGCGAGTATGAAGATCAATGTCTTCTGGGATGTCGTACCGTGTAGTCTGGTAAGTGTTTAAATGCGATCGCCCTGTCGATGGAAAGCAGTAAGCAACTCTGAAACGTGACGACAGGTCAGGTCCATATGAACAGGATCCTTCGATCCTTTTCTCGGACTGGGACCTGTTCATATAAGTTCTTGGCAGATGATCGAGAAGTGGTTTGCCATTGCCTTCTTCTGTGTGTGAATGGGGTAATTGTTGGGATGCCACGGAGGAAAACTCCGTGTTGCCTAGACCACGGCCTTGCCCAACACAAGTTATAAATTCGGGCACCGCCGGCAATCGAACCCGTGGGGTGGAATGGAGGAAAACGCCGCTCATTCTTGACCTTGCCATAAGTTGGAAGTGAGTGTTTAGTTCCACGCTCCGGCCGCTTGACCCTGGCGAAAGATTCTCCCGTGCCCATTTATAGGAGGCTGGATGGACCCGAGGGTCGCTGTGGACATTGTTGGAAGTATAAAAGGAATCTGTACTCCTGCTGGAAATTTAACCTGCCACTGCAGGCCTACTGACTGAATAATCCCGGTTCTTAAGGAATTAGGTTAGTCATTAAAACAGCTCAGTGCAGTTCTAAACATGGCTAATCGAGGTTGTATCTGACTGACGTGTGCAGAATGTGAAATAAGCTGAAAAGAGTTGAAAGTATTTGCAGCAACAAGAAAACGGACGGACGGACGGACGTGCGGCGCTTTGTAAGAGCCGAAAAGTTGAAACCAAGTGGTCAGTCGCTGAAGCTTGGCATGGGGTGTTCATAATTTACATTTTCCGCGCAGTCGGGTGTCCCCACAAAACGTTTGTTTGTTTGCTTTACGGAAAATGGGGGAATCGGTGGCTGAGTTCCTCATGGAACCGCCCCTTCACTGCAGCGTTTGGTTTCCAGCAGATGCTGCATTTGTTAACACGTTATTTATTTGTTTTCTTTGAAGTATTTAAATCGTACTTTATGCCGGTTATGTGTCAGCATAGTTGCCTCCTGTGAGCTTAATTATCTTCCTCGCTGTGGGTCGAACCTCGGATATGCGACATTTCAGGTTCTCACGGCGGCGAGTATGAAGATCAATGTCTTCTGGGATGTCGTACCGTGTAGTCTGGTAAGTGTTTAAATGCGATCGCCCTGTCGATGGAAAGCAGTAAGCAACTCTGAAACGTCGGTCTATTTTTACCTGACTACACGGTGAAATATCCCACCTTCTCGCCTGAAGTTTTTCTGCAGCACCATCCGAAATAGGTCACGGCCGTCTCCTTCCGCATCCTCACTTCTCACCATTTATGATCCTGTTCATTTGCACTTGATTCGATGTCGTCAGATAACCAGCGGATACTGACTCTCATTTGTTTAACGTCTCTTGTGAACGGAGCGCTTGGGCGTGCATGAGGCCGGTAACTCAGTCGGCGCTGTGACTGAGTGCGGGCTGCAAGACCAGGGTTTGATTCCCGTCAGGGGCAGGAACTTTCCGCTTTGCCACCGCATCGAGGCCGGCTCAGAAGGTGACAAATGAGTCGTGTCTGTAGCGGCTTCGTCAAGAACGCGTGGAGCTGTGCCTCCACGCCCGCATACGACGTCGTGCTTAATTAAGGTCGTGTAAGACAGGACGTGGTCCGTCCTCTGGTGGTACTGAGACGACACGACACCCGCCTTATCCGATCTTCGCATCTTGCCGCTTGTGGCATGATGGATGTAAGTGGATGTCTCTGTTTCATGTCTCCACAGTTACAAATTACTTCTGTGCGCTGCCCGTCTCCCCGAATATGGACATCAGGACGAGTGTCCCCGCCATCACAACTGCAACAGATACCACAGCCCCGTGGTTTGAAATCGCAGCGGCGGATTCAACTGGCTCATGATGTGGTTGGTCCATTGACATTGAACCAGGTTCCGTAAAACGTGGGGAACTTATTGAAGCAGCTGAGGAATTATTAGTTGCCGAAGAAGGACGCTGCTCCATGGAGTTAGCCACTCTCAAGACACGGGCGTAGCTGGAAGGATGATATTAAAATGGATCTGGAATTGAATAGGGCGCGGGGCAGCGGGCTGATTCGTGCTGCCCGTGATGCGTCCAGTGAGCTCTCCTAAGAGGAGAGGAATTTCCTCGGGTTCCACGTGAGCAGCTGAGCAACTGACGGCTGTGCCATGAAGTTAGGTGCTTTATCCGCATCTGTCACTTGGCGTTACACGCGTGGTGCATTGAACGCGGATGCAAGGAGGACGCAGTTTTCATGGACACGGCTGCCCGGCGCCTCTTCCTACACGCAAGCGCAGAAATGAATCACTTCTCGTTTATTACAACACCTTGGACATACACACATAAGCACATTATTTGCTCTGCGTAATGCGTGCCATAAGTTCAGACATCCGTGGGTTGTGTTTCTCTCAGGCTGTTAATTTTAACCAGCTCCGAGGAGGATAGTCAGTCGTTCTTCAGAAGGCAATAGGCGCTATTGAAGAAGTTCCCTGCCTTTTAAGGAACCCGAAGATTCATTACCGTGTCCATAGGAGCCCGCCACTCTGGGTCAGATGAATCCACTTCACACCCCGCCGTCTATGTCCGTCCGTATAGTGCGTGGGTGCTCTAAGTGTTCTCGTCTCTTCAGAGTTGTCCGGCTTTATGCATTTCATATCTTCGTCTCACCCGGACAGTAACATCCGTCTTGATTTAATGGGCCTTGTGTTTTGTGAAGAGTGAAAGTTGTGAAGTTCCTTGTCTTTGGTCTCTCGGCTGTCAAGTCTTAAACTCGGAGAAAAGGCGATAGACCTCCGCTCAGGAAAAAACGCTTCCTCGTTACTAGCGCGATGAATCGGAACGGGTAGCCTCGAATACGAAATCGGCGTCGAGCTGGCCAACCTCTCGACCCCGGCGTTCGATTTTCCTACCTCTGTAGTCGATTGGTCTGGGCTCGACCATTCTGGCCCGCATCACTGGCGTGTTAGAGAAGTTGCCGATCTCGCACGGCGAACGCGACATAGAATCTGTAAATGTGCAAACCGCAGACCTTCTGTTCAGCGGACCATGTGTGACGTCGATGGACGGACGTTCTGGCCTCCTGTTCACGATCTGGGTGGTCCCATAACATCACGGCAATCGCCCAGGAGCTTAGAAGAAGTTGGTTTGCATGTTCATCTGGTTTACCCATATCGTAAATACGGAAAAAAGCAGGTATTAGCGTGGCCAATTGCTGGAGGGTATCGTAGCGGATGTGAAGATGAGGACCTCTTTCAATACGCATCGGACGCGGCTAAGATGAAGGCTGGCGGGCTGTGAAGATAACATCAAGTGATTGCCAACGCAGAATGTTTAATTGAAATACTTGTATAATTAATTCCAGAGCTAATGATGATTGGATATCCTAACACAGCTGGGGGATGTTCTCCATCTATAATAACAGCTATTTAAAGAAGATTTAAGCCTGAACAGAAGCGTCAGATTATTCTTTATTCACGAGGAGACATGTGAATTACGTGACTTTAGTTTAAAGCATCTGATGACGTTTGGTAATGCAGCTGATGTTTGCGAACGGGGAGCTGCAGAGAATACTGGGGACTGGTTATCTAGTAAGCATGGGAAATTGTAAATATTTCCAACATTTTAGTCAGAATACCGAAGGGAGGCCTAGGCGTAAGTGAGAAGAACATAATAAAGTGGATGAACAAGCTAGGAATTCTCAACGACACAACCTAACCCATCGTAAAACAACACAACCTTATCTAAACCTAACCCAACCCAAAACGCAACCTATTACAATGTAACTCATCCCAATCAAACTTAAAACAACCCAAAATAACCGACCCGCATAGGATCAAACCCAGGACTTCTCCATGACCAAATAACTTCCGTAAATGATAGTCGAAACTGGATTCTTTTAACTCTGGATGGACTTCATTAGTGAGCTTTTGCGAAGTCGGTAATGAACCTTCACGTTTCATAAAGGACGCTGGATGCCTGCTTGCTCTCTGCAGTTGGCTTAATATACACCGCACGATTTTCCTGCTGTAGTCGTCATTTGAAGGTTTTCCCGTGCTCTAGGTAGATCATGAGATGTGATAATAAAGACATTAGTAGTGTCTGTTAAACTGCTTCAACGGGAGAAGTTCCTAATGTCTGCAATCTAAACTAAACTACACATTAGTGAGTACGCGATGTCTTCATTTCCACGGGGGGAGGATGCACGTTGATTATGGGTTCGAGACTTAGTTATAAATTTTGAGTAGAATATCTGTGTGTTGAAACGTGAGCGTGTACAGTCAGTTCTACAAGTCTGTGAAACACCGTGAGATTTAGCTCACAAGTGATAGATGAAGCTGTCTCGAAGGCGTGAATGGTACGCGAAGAGAGAACTTTTGTGTCTAAAAATATTTCTTGGTTCTCCATATTCGGATTTTTTAAATCGGAGGTTTCTTGTTGTAGGCCGCAGATTTGTATTTCGTGATGGGGTGCTTCTCATTTGTCGTCAGTGACTGTACCTGTACCTGCTGTGGCTGTTGGTACAGTGATTGATTGCAGCGCCACGGTCCCTCGCGGTCTCGTCTTACTTAGCCTGGGTTCCTTGCAGCCCGCGAGCCGGTTTCACCCACCCAACTCTTCTGTGCGACTGTGCGATACGCATTGCAACAGGACACTTGTTTCTGCATTTAAAAGTTATGTGTACTCCACTGGAATACGTCTTCTCAATCTTGTTTTGTCAGTCAAGGTCATTTGGCATTGTACTTACTGTGAGTCACTCGGCCGTCAGCGCCTGGAGACCAGTGCTAATTTCTGTGTTACAGTAACTATCAGTTGATTATCACATTGTCGTTTCTCGTTCCAGGCCCTGTGTCATATTCTTCAGGATGAAGATCGGTAAGTGGTCCTATGTTTTTCCCCCCCAATTCTCTTTAACACCAGTTCGATGGACCAGAGTCCTTCTCTGCATGATGATAGTTGCTCAGCTGGGTTCCCTGTATGTCCCAGTCTCGGGGATGGAGGTCTACTACTTCTTAGCTATCCGCGGCTGCGCTCGATATCTGGACGACCTTTTTCCCATCCGCAAAACACATTACAAGAAAATATTTTTCGTAGTTCCTGTGCCAGTCTGTATTCTGGGGGTCCTCATGTTAAGTGTTGTAATAGAGGCTTACGAGTTCAAAGAAAAATGGGTCCTTCAGGTATATCAGGTACAGCCTGGTGTTCGTACCGGTAGATTTGTACGTAAAGTCTGTCAGTGAGAAATGCGGAATAGCAGGTAAGGCTTTTCGAAACTGGAGCACGCAAGTTTCCCATCTCTTGGTTTCGTTCGCCCTTGAAGGAATCACAGAAGAAACTGCACACGCGTAAAGTTTTCTTTCGTGTCCGGTTATTACACTTAAGTCACTTTTAAATTTTTATCATTCGTGCGAAACTGATTGACGTAGTTCACGCTCGTGTGAGTTTCACTGCATGAGTGGTCCATCTCCGTTGTCAGTGTGGATCAATGGACTATGTAAATGCTCCCTATAGGAAAGCGGATAAATTTCGTCGTGTTTGTTCACTCGTTACGAGAACTCGAATAGTGCCTGATAGCGAGGTTAACGCGTAATACAGAAACACAAACTGGCCTTCCTACTTGTACGCTAAAATGTTTGGCTGTTTCGTAATGCGTGTGGCGTCTCACCCAGAAAACAGCTCTGCCAGGAGCGTTGTTATGAACTCGTACCTTCATTTACCTCCTCCTCGTCCAAAATCTTAGGTGTATTGTCCTTTGGAAGTGTTACGCTGTAAAAAACGCCATGTCGCTGCATGGCGATCGTCGCATTCTGCGTCAGATGGTGTCTGTGGATCGTTACCTGAGAACTGGGCGGAGACAACGGAACGGAGACTTGGTCGCTTCGGCGAGACAAACGAAAAGCCGTGACGACACTAGTTCCGACCGGCATAACGATTTCTCGTCCCGTAGCGTAATAGTTTATTTGCACGCAAGCGCCCGTATGGGTGTTACTTCTCCAGATTGAAAGTTCACAGCGAGCGGCTGACACACTGACTTATTTATGGTCGTCGTAATAGTGTTTTTACATGGAAGGAGGCGATAACAGACGCGAGCGTCTTGAAAGATGGGGCTGGAATTCTTATCGGTGATTGGTGGTTCATGCTTGTGGGGTGCCCAGTGGCACAAGTGTCACGCCAAGTTTATTAAAAATCCGTTCAGCTGTTTGGACTAACTGAGGTACAGACGCGCTCAGTTCGTGTGCGCGGGTGTCGTCTTTGTATTTGGGAGGCTCCGAGTTTGAATGTTTCGTTGTCCTGACCGAGGCCTTTCGTAGTTTTTGACGGTGTAAGGAAATTCTGAGACAGCGGTCGTTTACTTTCAGATGAATTCTTTACAGTACCTGCGACTTGCTTACGAGTGGCCGACACGGTTGTTGTATTATAACCCCGTGATTAGATCATTGGCTGCCAAACCTCTCCATTGGCGAGGAGTGCGGTCCGCCTCTGACTGAAATGGCAGCGACTTTATTTCGCTTATAAAGTGCGCCTCTTAATGACCCTGTAAATGTAACCTGAAGTTAACGTCAGTACCTCCCATCTTCTTAGTCATACAAGTGGCTGCCTGTAAGGAATTTCTTCACCAAAATTCTGTGCGTATTTTATAGCCCCATCCAAGTTATGTCCCCGTTTTTTCCTGCAGTAGGCGCTAACTTGCCTCTTTGATGCGAGCAGTTGGAAGCGTCGTTTAATAAATAAATTGTCCGTCGAAATTTGATTTCGGTCCGGAGTCGGTACTTATCACCCGCCTATCCCGAAACGTTTGGGCGTCCGTCGTATTAATTGAATGCACGAGGTGTTTTGGAACGGAATGCCAAGTCCCACGGGCCAACCCCCCTCCCCCTCTTACCCGCACATGTGAAAAACTTGTCCGAGACGGCCTGAGAGAGACATGAGGCTTATGTAGTGAGCGTTTATACATCGCGAACTGCCACGCCATAAATCCAGCGACCAGATTGCACGTGACGTGAGCATTTATACAAGATACGAACTTTGAACTCTTTTTCTCGCCTTCAGCACACCTTTGCGTAAGGCTCCTGGCTCCAGGTGTGGGAGTTGTGACCCGGAACTGCCTGCGCCCACGTCCTGTTCACAGTGACGACGGATTCTCTTCCTTTAAATTCGGAAGGGGCCATGTGGCGACTGTTGCTGTAAATCTATATAATGTATTTTCCTCTGATTTATGTGGTGACCGGTTCAGTAATGTGATTGAGTTTAAAGTCAACTCCACTGGCCACGCGTGACCGTCAGCAAAGTCCGAAAACGAATACTTCATGTCTTGTTGATCTCGATTCGTGTCCAGAAATTCGGAAGTAGCGTCTTCTGAAATCCCAGACAGCTGTAATCGTGCATTGGTTGCGGGGCGCTGTTTTAAGGTACGGGTCACGCAGGTCAGAGGTCAGGTGGACAGCGCAAGTATGTGGCCGCGCTCGGCTGAGTGTTGCGGTCAGCTCAAGAAAAATGTTCAGTCGGACTCCCTTTCATCTGCGCTCACCGTACATGTAATTACAAAAAAATATGTATTAAATTTATGTTGGGAGATCTCCTCCCATGTTCTTCCACAAGCTCATTTGAGTTGCTGTATAGATTTTAATTGCCAGTTCTCTCTCTCTCTTCTGTATTCATCACAAATACGTTGTCCTGTCCTCAGAGAAAGGAAAAAGAACACGAAATCTCCCTATATCATGAGAGGGTTCAGCAAAAACCGATGCACTTACAGCCGTTTCCAATACAAATGAGGCCCCTTGTGTTGTCAAGAGCATATTCAGTATAAATCTAATTCAATTTCGGAGTTCAGTCCTTCATGAAGCTCGTTATTTATTAGACTGCGCTACAGAAAGAACAGGTGATATTTTAATAACTTGGTAATCAAATGTGGGTCAGGCCTTAGGGAGAGATGGCCAGATAGGGAGGGGCCCGTTATAGTCAGTGGCCCTAAAGGTGGTCCTCGTGGACCACTTCAGTAATTTGTTTGCTACGGGATTTCCCGGTTCTCTTAAGATAGTAATAAAAATTACTATTTTTGTTAAGTCTGATTGTCGGATGTGCGCATTTCCGCCGGACACAAAGTTCGTCTGCAATGTCCCTTTTGAGTAAAAGGATAAGCCGACTGTACCAGTGGCCCTTTCCGTCTTGTGTAGTAGCAATTGACGTTCCTGGGCGAAAAATGAATTTCCGGGGCTGCAGACGAGACGTTGCCTATTCATTTTCCCATTTATATGCATGAAAACAGGAGAGGGGTTAAATGATGGGGTTGGAAGGTGATAACGAATAGGTCTAGCCGCTAACTGTGGAATGTGGAGGGGGAACTGGTTCATTTTCCGATTCGCCACTACTATGGAATTTAAAAACATTGGGCGCTGCTGGTGGACTCGTGAACAAAATTCCCATTATTTTGTCGCTGCGAATGTTGAAACACGTCAGACAGCTCAGAACGAGACTTGGAACCGAACTCGGGCCTGCTTGTTGTCGGTGGCATTTCCTCTTCAACACGTGCAAAGATTTTTCCGCCGATAGTCCGTTTGTCAGAACCTCGTTTGCGAAAATGGATTGCTTCACGTTGTGATATTGAGTGATTCGTCCTGCATCTCTCAGATAAACCAGACTGCGTGATATAACCATTTTACGAATAAAAAAGATGTTATCGTCGTTGGATCTAGAGATAATTATCCGGTTTAGTTTCTCTGTTTAAATATTTTCACTGCTGTCAAGAGACTGCGCATTTCATTAGACAGGAATTGCAGAAATGGTAATTTGTAGAGCTGTGTGTGTTTAATAAACGTCACGTATTGAAGCTTCGTACAGAATAAATCTATAAACTGCATAATTACATAGTTAACAAACTGTTGCCTGAAATTTCCAAAATCTCTCCACCCAAATTTCGCTCTCTTTTTGGGTTCGCACACTGAAGCGGGTATCGCTGTTTTTTGCGAAACGCCTTGCTTCTTATCGGCTATGGGTGATGCGTTCAGAAATTCCCGTGACTCCGCTGTGTTTGAAGTGAACACGTTTCATTTTCGACCTGGAACTTGCATACGAATGTGAAATGAGACATTTATGATGCCTGAATGTGACATGCCAGTATTGCGGTTTGTGATAATGCTACTGCCTTTACAGCTGCAGCGGCTCAACGAAAGATTTGTATATTTTAGCTGCCGAAACGTCTAAACTCAACTATAATCACAATAGCGAATGGATAAAATATTTACTACAAGTGCGTTTTAAGTTAACCCACGCTACATTTACACGTGGATTTATGCGAAGTTAATTATGTTAGTTGTATGGCATTGGTGTATTCTGCAGCTGAAATCTGTCAGTGAATGAAGACGTTTTTCCTTGTACGCTTTGAACCCCCTGCAGCTGGTACTGAGCCGATTGTCAATTTTCTTTTCAGTTTCACACCTGAGATGGTGATGGAGCGGTGTCCAAACCTGGGACTTGTAGTTGACCTGACCAACACCAATCGCTATTACAACGGCCAGGTAAGTTCTTCTTCATTTCTGTAACTAAATCCATCTCGAGAAGCTTATAATGGCGCATCTAGTCCAGAAATTTGCACCTCTTATGAAACTGAAGGGCAGTGTGACTTGTGTTTAATGTGTCCCGCCATTGTGCTCTGTTCTGAGCGAAGTGAATCCAGTGCGCATGTCTTCAGACCCAACCTCTTTAAAATGCATGTTAATGTTATCCTCTTATCTGCGTAATAAAGGGTCGAGAAACGCGGAAGAATTTCCGGTGTTCCCCGCTAGAGGCCGGGTGTAACGGGAATTGAACGACGTCATGGTGTTTCTTGAGTACAGTTCTTGTTGAGAAGCTGGTTGTCGCTCAGCTTATCAAAGAATTATCCGCGTTTTTTTGGAATACAAACGTAGGAATTTTGGGTCTGTGCGCTTCTTACGTGGCTGTAGATGCAGTACGACGTATGAAGGACGCTGTCATAGTTTTGTTCTGGTTTGTGGAAAAGTGATATTTCAGTTTCAGTAACCTTAATTCATTCCCTGAAACAGGGTTGAAACTTAAGCCCGAAGTTGTGATGGACAGTGATTTTCTTTCGTAAGTCCGCTGCTGTTTCCGCAATGGAAGACGAAATTGGTTCTCTGCTTGGAGTAAGTCCTGCACGAGCACATGGTCCATGTGAGGAAATTCATAAGCCGCGTTCACTGTGCATATTAATGGTAATGTCTGGGTGGAGTTCGGCGACACCGCCATCAAACGGAGGGCCGGACCAACACTTGTTACAAGTTTCATGGCTCCACCTTCCAAATTAAAACATTCTTGTGAATCGAACAGTTTAGAGGGCTGTGCTGTATTTAATGGCGGGAGATGCAGGTCTGTGCTCTCTAAAGGTCAGAGGACAAGAAACAGCTACTTCTCTCAATACCAGCTGTAAAACTGTGAGTTGGAAGGCCAATATCACTTTGAAGTTTAAAAGCTGTGAAACGTCTATACCCGTTGAAATTATAAACAAATGAAAGCTGTTATAACTTTCAAGCCCTGCGCCGTACAGGTGAAGGTTTGTCACCCTTGTATTTAGGTACTTTCACCTTCCGGCACAGAGTTGGGGAGAAGTGGATGCCAGAAACAATAAGTTAATTTCCGTACAGTAATGCAAATTCGCAGGAACCGTGTTTTGAAATATGTGACGCGTATTTTAAATCAAATCTCTTTTGATCGCTGTTAAGTGAAAAGTGGGCTGGCCGGAGAGGCCCTGTAATGAGGTGTACTTCTCGGTCCTCCGTAATCAGATGCCATCGCATTCCGATTTACATGTGCAGGCCTCGAGTGACGGCTGTCACACGCTGAGATCTCAAACTCTCTGATTATTCTGGGTGGCCAAGTTTGATGGCCGATTGCTTGCGGTACTGAAGTCCGATGCGTGTCCCTAAGAAAGAATTATTCTTTAGCAGCGTCCTTCTTGAGAAGCTAATAGTTCTGCTGTCTACATGTCCCGCCCATTGCACCCTGTAAATATTAAGCTAAAATACAGTTATGAATGTTGTCCGTAGTTTGGTGTTTCGTTTGTCTTGTCCTCTCTCTCTCCTCCTTCTGCGTTCTTTGAGGAGTGCGCAGTAAAAATTGATAGCAGTTGTTGAAACCAAGGAAGGATGCAGGCGGGAGCTCCTGCAGTTGGTTGTTCTTCAGTATTTGGTCTACGCCGTTGATCGTGATAGAGAGGTCTGCTCGTTGACAGCGCCCGTTGTTTGACCGTCCATCTCTGTGTGCGCGGTTGACAGCTCAGATGATGAAACGAAGGACAAATAGTGACATGGCTGCTTTATCATCGTCCTCGGGGTAGCTACATTCACGTGTGTGTGTGTGTGATACGTAGGCAGACAGGTATCTGTTGGGGGGGGGGCTGTTTGGATCTACTCGCTTAAGTTCGCTGTCGAGTCGTCCGGCCACATTATTATTAATTATTGTTGTTTATAACCATTACCTTCGACCATAGTATTGGCATTTTGTACAATCTCTTTAGTGTAAGAAGTATCTGTTAATTAACATCTGTGTTAATGAATGTGTTTGCTCTGTAGGCCACTGGGCCGCTACGAGGTTTTAGGTGTGCCCCCGAATTTGTTTCTACGGAATTGCGCATTCGCACGTTTTAGGTAGAAAAAGCGAAATTATCGATAGTTTCATCGAACATGTGGGTCGTACTGGCATTTTGTGGTGTACCGCGGGCGGAAAAGAAAACTTTTGCTGAAGACTGCCGTAAGGAAGTCCCCCAGAACCTGCGGCTTTTGTCCGCGATGTCTGAGCGTGGGCCTGATTTCAGGTGGCCTAATATTCCGGCACTTACGTGGAGGGTCTGAGGAAAAACAAAACGTGTGTCGAGGCCAGCTCTGATACCCGTGCCTTGCCGCGCCAGCAGCAGGCAGTTCGGGTTCCTGGCCTGCCGCCTCGTCGTGCAGCTTGTCACACGATCTTGTAGCCGTCTCCACTTGTGTCCAATTAAAACAGAAAATGCCATTAACTCTGTGGCCTCTGAACAAGACAGCGGACGGATTTCAGGGACCACGTCCTTGCTCTCCGAATGCGACGTCGTGCTTCGAGCAATTCTTTCTCTTGACGAATATTAATGCGGGAATTCAACGCTTGTTCCCGGATAATTAGGGGGCGAAGTCACCTATAAGCTTCGAAATGAAAATAATTCTGTTTCCCTGATGCATGTATTTTTGCAAGTATATTATTATTATGTTTTGTTTGCACGACGCACGTAACATGAGTACTAGACTAGCTACAGGACTGATCCTGTCCGTCTGTCCGTCCACGTGTTTCAGGGACGTTTTACCATTTTAACACGTCTCAGTCTCGCACTGTTTAATCGCCTGTGATCAGAAATACGAACGTGACGGACGGACGGACGGACGGACCAGTGACGTGGAGTGAGACGAAGTGGCTCCACTCGATGTGTGGTAACTTTCTTACGGTAAACGGTGTTTCTGTTTGTTTCAGATTTTCAGATCCAGAGGAATTCAGTACAAGAAAATATATTGTCCTGGCCAGAGGGTTCCTTCAACCAGGATACTTAAAGAGTAAGTAGAGAGAACTAATTTGTGTCACAATCTGTGTCTTCGTTACTCCCCTGCAGACTTGGTGTGAATCCGTTCATTTATACCGCCCGAAAATTACTTTCCAATTTCTCTTTGCCAAGAGCTTCAGTGGCAGTCAGAAGAGTTGGACGTCTCTTAGGGCGCTTATAGGCCCTCGTGTATGATTGAGATGAAAGTAACAGATCTTGATGAGATTTGTGATGTCATGTCATAAGAAGTGCGATTTTGTTTGCTGATGAATCAATCGTAAAGTCGTTAGAAGATTTAATTATTATACTTTAAATTTGTTTGTGCGCGTTCATATGACGCGCTGCAGAATTCCAGTCGTACAAATTGCGGTAAATCATGTGTCCGAGTTAGAGACGCGATGGACCACAGTAAATCTCTTTGATGACAGACTTGTTTCCTGTTTGTGTATTCATGCCTGTATTTTACATGTAATGCAAGTCGTAAACTCGATATATCGATATGGAATAGCTCCCATTGATAAATGCGATGGAGCCAACGTGCCATGTGGGTAAGGGTTTCGTCTCTTGGAGATTTTTATCGCATCTTCTCCTCCCCGCTGTTTGCCATAAATCAGAGAACTGCATTGGAGCTAGTGGAGTGGAATGGAAAAGTCTGCTAAAAGTTTCGAGACTCCGCTATAAAGATTTTGCAACTTCTGCTGAGCTTTCTTTCTGTACGACCGGGGAATAAAGTTCTGTCTCGTGCGAGGTCCGTCCTTCGTCTTTTTCTCGTACGCAGTCGTCACACGAGCTTGTGGGCGATTTAACCAACGCTGCTCTTGTGTACAGCGCCGTGAAGACGAAAGGGGTCAGTGGGTGTATAACTCCACGTGTTCTCAGTCTCGGCACTAGACGGAGGCGATTGGCTAGCTTCATCCGCGGCAGGTTCATCCCCGGTGCTCGTCGTTGGTCAGGGTGGGCCCCGTATTCTAAGTCTGCGCTGAAGTGGAGCGGTGCCCTTGCCTCGTAGACGGACGCTTTCGGAGGACAGTGGACGTCATTAGTTCTCTTCAGAACTTTCTGTTGCTGCAGAAACATATGACTGGAGGAGAGTCCTTGAGAAGCTGATAGTCACCGAACTGCTAAACTAATTTCTCGCCTTTTATGGAACTACAAGGTGCGTCACTGGCCCATATCGTGAGGCAGATTAATCCAGGCTTCACCCTCGTGATTCATTTTAATATTATGTTCCCATTTACGCCTGGGTGTCTTCCCTGGGTTTTTTTATCGTCGCTCCGATGCATGCTACACGTCCATTCGCCTCGTCTTCATGACTAATAGTAGTCACTAATAGCAGGCAAATTATGGAGCTCCGTGCATTTTTCCCCATTTTGGCTTGTGATGTCTTCAGTCTGTGAGTGTGTAGTTTCGGGAGGAAATTGCATTTCGGGCTGGCGATGGTCGCAGAACGTGTCTGAGCGAGGCCAGCAGCGCCGCTTGCTAATGTATGGGCGGTCTTGTGAATGCTTGGGTGGGAAATGAGACTTCAATGTGAGAACAGACGCTAATTTATTTACACTGTGTAATTGCATTTTGAAGATGGAGTATCTGCCTGCCTATGTGTGTCTGCCCATATTTCATGGATACACTGGACCAACGCTTAAAGTACGATGTTATAGAATCATATTGGAATGTTTCCACAGTAAGACGTTCGTAGTTACAGGGTTTAAAAGCGGACGACGTTTAAAATATAGTACTAATAATGAGAGAGTCGTGTAATGCGTTGTGCGTGATATAAACGCGGGGCCGGCTCGTTGCAGACAGCGAATATTTATCAGAAGGCACGCCGGTCGATTTATAATTCTCCTCGCCTCTTTACTGATATACGGGCTCAGCGACTATTAATATACCTGCTTGGTCTGAAACTCCATTTGTCTGATCGATTAATCAGTTTATTGTTTTTGATGTATAACGTCGACTTTCGGGGATGAGCCGCGTCGAATGTTGGAAGTTATTCAGCGTTTCGACAAACATTGTAGTTGCCATCTTCAGTGTGAATGTGTATTGGTTGGGTGATTTTAGAAGCCATGTTGTGCCTGTAGGGCAGGCAGCAGGCGTGCATGCCGTCGGCGAGATTCGAAGTCGCGACCGGAGTGGGACCGTGGCGCCTGGTGTCGGTTCACAGACGTTCAATAAAGTGGCAATGCTTCGTGCTCTTTGGCGAACTCCGCTCGGGCAGTGGGAGATGGCGGCTGAAGGATGTGTCTTCTGGGTCGTAGCGCCGTGTAGTCTGCTACCAAACTACACGGCGCAACAACACAGAAGACAGCCATCTTCAGACTCTCCTCAAATCATATAGAGGAGTATCTGGACTGGTACGGGCTACTATTAGCGTCTCAAGATGGACCCCTCTTCTTGAGGGAGTTTGTCAGTTAGTGCATTTATTCTTCTCGAGGTAGACTCGCATTTGCACTGAGTAGCGTACATTAAACAAGCTGTGTGAGCAGGTTCCTCGAATGTGTACTTTCGCGATATCATTGTTTTTGCTTTTTGCAGCAGTTCAAGGTAGAGAACAGGTCAGAGTCTATTTGCAGAATAACGTATCGTCCTTGTTTTTGTGCGCGATGCAAATATTTTTTCTGGCATCGTTACGTTTGTAGTGGAGTTG